AAAGAGAAATAATGTGTGAATAGTAGAGAGAGAGTGTTTTTGACAAGGTTTCACCATGCTGCAATCCTGCTTTAGGTGCGCCTCTCGGGCTCCTTTATGTTGGCTCAGGAGCCAAACCTGGGCTGCCCTCTCTGCCTCAGTGGTGCAGCGGCACACTGGCACCTGGGCCACCGCAGCTGGGTCTGCCTTTAGTTTATTATATCCTCTTTTTCATTTTCTTAAATTCATTGTTTGCTCCTTTTGCTCCACTTTGATACCTGGTAAATATAACTAAGAGGATATATTAATTGAGTACTCTTTTAAATTTGTCCAATATTGTCAATATCATTTTTTCCTTTTTTTTGGAAGTCATTATATAAATTAGCAAATTTCTTCTTTTCCAAAGAATTTTTTAAGAGGTTTTTGCCTTAAGGTGCATCCGCTTGTTGGAGAGTGAGAGAGACACAGACAGTGAGAAGGTAAGTGAGAAATCAGCCTCCAGGGAGGATGGCCATGCGGCAGTCCCTTCTCTATTCTCCTCCCAGCATCTTGGGCACACATGCAAATGCACCTGGCATGATTTCAAAGCCACTGGGTCTGGGACTCAAACCATGGTTGGCCTCCTGCAATGTAACTGCTATGCCATCTGCTGGCCCCTTTAAAAAAAATATATACACACACACACTCACACACACACACACACACACACACACACACACATATATATATATATATATATAAAAACAGAGATTTTTGCTTTAGGGTGCATGACCTCTCTGGAGAGACAGAGAGACAGAAAGCAAGAAATCACTCCCCAAGGAAGATGCCCATACCACAGTCCTTTCTCTTCCATTCTCTTCTTGGGATCTTGAGCATGCACACACATGTGTCTAGGCTGAGTTTTAAGCTACTAGATCTGGGATTTGAACTCCAATTTGGAAGACAAATGTCCATTAGCAGTCAAATAGGTAAATAAATGTGGTGTACAGTGTTTCTAGAACAGGATACGACACAGCAGTGAGAAGGAAAGAACTATACAATTACAGGCACTATCATGGACACAGTTTTTCAAATTGACTACTGAGTAAAAGAACCCAGGCACGAATGAAGACAGGCTCTTTGATCCATTTATGTAAAGTTTAAAAACAGACTAACTAGTCTACGGTGTTAGAAGTAGGAGAATGGTGGGACCAGCAGTTAGCGTAATGGCTCTGTCACTGGACTCCCAGTAGTGGACCACGGTTCGAGCCCTGGACCCAGTGGCTTAAACTCATGCCGGGTGTGTTTGTGCATGCCAAAGATTCTGAGAGGATAGAAGAGAAGGGATTGTGGCGTGGCCATCCTCCCTGGAGGTGATTTCTCACTTTCTGTCTCTCTGTCTCTCTCTGTCTTTATGGTGAGCGCACACACCCTATAGCAAAAACCTTTCCCCCTGCCCCCCCCCCAAAAAAAAGTAGGTGAGTGGTTACTCAGGGTAGGAATATGGTAGCAACAGAAATAGCAGGCAAATAGGTTAGAATAAGTTCTAGGGAGCTAAGAATGTTCAATCTTTCTGATGTGGGTTGTGGCTACATGTTTACTCTAGGACAACTGAAGTTGTTTACTTGAGACATTATGCATTTTCTTCTATAGGTACATTCACTAAAATCAAGTTTAAAAAATGTTCCAGTGGAGCAATTTTCATAAACCACAAAATGTAATTAAAGTTATTTTGCTTCAGTACTTCAAAATATTAACTTACTGCCTTCTTGCATTCAGCTTTGCCTTGAAACATTTACCACCATTTGATTCTTTCCCCATTGTATCTGACCTTCCATTTTTGAAATTTAGCGTTTTCTTCTTGATTTCCTTAATTGGATCTTAATTTTGCTATGTATATATCTATGACTCATATCCATTAAATATGTACTCCTTTTTGTACATCGCTCAAACGTCAATAAAGAGACAGAGAGAGAGAACAAAGAGGAGGAGGAAATAGAGAAGAAGGAAGGGAAGGAGGAAGGAAGGGAGGTGAAAAAGGAAACAAGGGAGGGAGGAGAGAATGCAGGAAAGAGAGAGCTCTGTAATGCTTACAGTAAAAAGCTCCGTCCCAGCATCTTCTCAAAGGGTAATGATAACAAAATAGGAAAGTCTTCCAAAGGTAACATGTCATTTATCTCTTTGGCTTTCTTTTTCAAGTGCCAAGAACTCTGGAACTTGGTAAAATAAAAATATGCTCATCATTCATGCAAGTACAAGGAAACGCCTCAGTAAAGACTAAAGAACCGATCACATCGCCATGGGAAAAATTATTGTAGAATTGGTTGCTTGATTATGTAATTAGATTCTGGATTTAAAAACAATAAATATGTTTTTTTTTTAAGTGTCCACTGGTTAAATTCAACTCGAAAACATTTCCCATTTCAAATGCTAACGCAGCTATTTAAACAATTTTCCCACCGCCTACTCTTACTTCTTTTCCCAGCTCAGCTAACAGAAAAAAAATGGTGAAAATAATTTTTCCCTCTGCAACATTTTCTTGCTTTCCCCAGTCCCCACCTCTGAAAAAATAGTATCTGTAGACAGGCAAAAAGCAATGGTTATAAACGTCATCCATGAAGGATCTATTAAAGCTGTAAGTGGCCACACATGTTTAACTGTTTTTATTTATTTATTATTATTATTATTTAATTAGCTACAGGTCATGTATGCTAGAGAGAGAGGGAAAAAAAAAAACGTTGCCAGGGCTGGGACTCAAACTGCAGTCAGCGCCTTACCCACCCCACTCCCAGCGCCTTAACCATCACACTCCCATTGCTTTCCTCACTTTATGATAGTGTGCTAGCGGTGGGGAGGGGAGCTGGGGGGAGAGAAAGCGAACATAGGAGGGGAATCGGACTCAAACCGCGGTCTGCCGTGTGGGGATCCAGCGCCCTTAACCACCACACCACCTGCGGAGGGGCCTCGGTGCCTACGGCAGCAGCGTGGGGGGAGGGAGAGGTGACGTAACATTAGCCGTCCCTCCTCCCCACGCCTCTCTCTCGGTAGAGCTGGAAGCGCACAGCCTAGCCCTTGCGAACCACCGAGGCTTTCCTGCAGTCCTCGGCCGCCGCGCGAGCCTGGGAGCGAGGATGGAGAGACGGGTGAGCTGGGCCAGGGAACGCGGAGAAAGGTGCCGGGTGGGCGAGGTCGAATTGGTGGCCCTGGGGCGGGCTGCTTGCGTAGCGCGCGGAGCCTCTGCTCGCCGTCTGCTTGGTGCGTGGCATTGATGCCAGTTTTCTGGAAAGATGATGCTACTAGGCGGGGGCTCAGGAGACGCGTCGCCCGCAGTCATTGTTTGTGAAGGGATGAACTGTCCCCGGTCGGGCTGATGGCTTGGCTTGCGGGCTTCCGCTCCCTAGGCGAGAAAGCACGACCTGAGTGCAGCTGCCCGAGGAGGGGCTGCGGAGTGCTGGATCCACCTCACGGATACCTAACGCCATGGTCGGGGTGCAGAATTCCAAGCTCACCCTCTCCTTCGGAGCCCCTTTGATGCTCCGCTGCTGTGGCTGCTGTCTCCTCTTGGCCTCGTCTGGGGAAGCCAGGAAGGATCAGTTCTTGAAGCTATAGCTACACTTGAGAAGGGAAATGCTCTGTGATCATGAGTCTGGGAAGGGTTAAAACAGGGTAGCGAGACAGACATATTGTTCATTCTGGACCTGTTTACAAAAAAAGCAAACCAAAAAACAAAAATGCGTTTTCATATACCCCATTAGTATGATTAGATGAAAAACCAGCCCCAATGAATGTCTTAAGATAATTTTTTTCATATATAGCTGATTGGCAAAACGGTACACATAGCCAGTTATTTCATTATTTTTCTGAACAAAGGAGAATGGTGTCCTGTGAGCTACTGGGGAGGGTGGGCTAGATACTCTTGGTCTTTGCTGCTCTCCTTCCAATAGGGAATTATGGCTCGATTTCACAAATGAAAAAACCAGGAGGAGAGGTTAATTTTTGCAAGTCTGTGTGAGTCTGTGTGATGGGATTGGGATTTGGCTTTAGAAACTTTCAGGGGAAGTGGTATGTATAGGGGCAGTGTACCTGTGGGGGCAATTGTCAGGGAAGACCCAGGCCTTGTAAACCTGGCCTTCTTGGCAGAGGTTGTAAGTGGATTTTGCTTTTATGATTGTACTTCTCATCCATGACTTATTGCTTAGTTTGGATTTTTTTTTTTTTGTTACCTAACACATATTGGCATTTATTACATCCAGGCACTGTACCAAATGCTTTAAATCTCTAATTCTCATAATAATCCTACAAAGTATCATCAGTTTTTATTTATTTATTTAATGGTAGAGAGCTTGTGTGCACATGAGTGAGATTTAGGCTCACTTGACAAGGTCTCATCACACCGCCATCCCCTTTCTCTGGTACTAACGCACTGCAGGATCCTGGCTTCCCACGCACTCCCAGCATATTTTCGAGCTGACGTAGCATCTGAACCAGCGGTCCACCCTATGGTTTCCAGCCTTGCAGGGCACCATAGTGGCTGGGTTAGAAACACTTATTTAGTACCATTTGTATTGGGCACTATTCTAGGAAGTTTATGTATACTACTTTACATATACTATTATTTATTTAGCCTTTTAAACCAGGAAGCTGAGAGAGGTAAACCTGAGAGAGGTAAAATGGCTAGTCTTCACTCAAACATTTAGCTCTTGTTTTAGGGCAAATTCAAATTGGCCAAGAGGATATTTTCTTAGCTATCAGCCAGCAATACATCCCGGGTTTCCTCCTTATAAAATATAAGTACTGCTGTTTTCAGTTATTCTGCATGGACTAGAGGAGAAAAATGTATCAAATAAAAATATGTGTATATTAAATAGCAAAACGTTTCTTCTGAGTCCCTTCGTCTCAATCACTATGTATTGTTTTTTGTTTTTGCTTTTTTTTTTTTTTGCCTGAGGGCATGTATGCTGGTCAGAGAGAGAGAGAGAGAGGGAGGGAGAGAAGAGGGAGAAAATACCTTCCCAATGGGGTGTGGTCATGCTGCAATCCCTTCTCCATTTCTCTATCTTGCCAGGATTTGGGCATACCGATATGTGTGTCCCCTGCCCCCCATGCTTTTCAAACTGTTGGGGCTGAGAACCAAGTGGGATCCGGCTCCCTTAACCACTAGGCCATGGAACCAGCCCATGTTTTTATTTAACACTGCTAATTTCCAGTTCACAAGTTTCTTCTCCCTCTCTCTTTTCTTTCCCTTCAGTTTTTTCTATAGGTCACATGTGTTTGCTGGAGAAAGACAGAGAGAAAGTGGGAAATCACTCCCCAGGGGGCACAGCCATGCAGTAGTTCCTTCTCCTCCATGCTTCCCTCAGGATTTGGGCTATACATGCACATGCACTTGGTGTGTTTTTCAAGTCACCTGGTCTGGGGTTCAAACTTCGAAGTCAGCCATGTGGGATTCAGCTGTTTTACCCACCATGCAGCCGGCTGGCCCTCCAACCTACAGTTTTGTGTTTTGGTTTGCATGTCCTCTCTCTCATCCTAAAACAGATTTTTTTTCTATATAAATCAATCAGTTTTACATTCCTCATAACAGGCCTGGATTTCTACATGAGAGGCATTACAGTTTTCAAGAAATGCCATGGGGCTGGCCCTGTGGCTTAGTAATTACTAGAGCCAGATCCTATATGGCTGACTGTACAGCTCAAACTCTGGCCTTGGTGACTTGAAGAACAAACTGGAGACGTGTGTGTGCCCCCTAAATCTCAACAGGATGGAAGAATCAAGTAAAAGTGACTGTAGTGTCACCATGCCCCATTGGGGGACTGCTTTCTTCTATCTCTGTCTCTCTGTCTCTGGCAATGCCCTCACCCAATGGCAAATTAAGAAAAAAACTTGGCATGAAATTGTAAGGCCAGTATCTGTCTCCACAACTGCCTCAGCTGAAAATAAAACAAGATGTGTTGTACACTGGCAACAAAGCCTAAGGAAATATTTGACCTGATTTTTTCTGACTTTCTTATATAGTTAAACAGAATACGGCAGTCTTGGTAATACTGAGAAAAGTATCAAATTGTCCCCAGGGTACTTCAAAACCAAGACCTTTGTGAATGTGGCACCTGGGAGTGGAAGAGAAGAGGGGGCCAGGTCTTAAGGAGAAGGGCGTGTCTTTACAGACAGCTGTATCAGCTTTGACTTCATGGCCTTGGACCCGTGAAGACATGAGAAGGCATAGGACAAGCAATAAAAATACGTGCAAATGGTAATTCATCCTAGTGGCATGTGTGGATAGTACAGCTTTGTATTCGCAAGGTCTTAGGGATGTAAAGAAAAAGGAATTCATGCGACACAGATTAATATTATTATCCATGATGCCACCCCATGGGGTCGAGGTAGAAAGTCTGTGACTGAGCCTCGCCGCCTGAAGACAGAAGGTACTCAGGTATGGGCTGGCACTGGAGATGTGCCCGAGGGAAGTGACACATCATCCCTTGCAGGGCGTCCATCCGGAAGGACCTACCAGGAGCACTGACGGAGCCTGTAAGGAGATTCTACATCACTGGCAGTGAGTTTGGAAAAGAGCCCTTTCACGAAGAGCCCTTTCCAGTCTCTAGCATAGTGTTCAGGGCCAGGCCTTTGCCCACACCATGACAGCTCTGATGTTCACGGACTCAGCCACCTCCATGGTGCACGCTGGCTCCAGGAGAGCTGAGACAAGATGGTTCTAATGTTCATTACTTCACTGATTCCCAACCTACAGGTTCTAGCTAGGACAGCTGAAGCTTCTCTCCTTATAGCTATAACCATAGGAAAGACACCATCGATGATTACTGGGAAATATTCTACCCCAGCCTATGGAGGGACAAGGTTAGCAACTTCTCTTGCTAAAGGAAAGCAAGGTTATGTAATGAGAATGACATTTGTGATACACCTGTTGAATTAAATTGGTTTGTCACTTCCTCTCTAATATTTCCCCCATGAAATTTAGGTCATAGCAATTTCCCAACGGAAGAGGCATGATTTAAGCAGAATTAACAAGCTGGTATAACAGGAAAGAAAGAGGATATTAGAATGGGGGTGGCTCTCACTAAACAAGAAGAAGAAAGATAAATCCTTGTGGTAGATAAAGGAAGAGAATTTCAAATCCTTACAGACTCTGCTCTGCTATTCCCTGCTTCCAAGCCCTCTAAGGCCCTTAAAAAGGAAGGCTATCAGGGATCAGCAGTTGGTATAATGGCTATGTTGCCATGTAGTCGACTGCGGTTCAAGCCCCGGACCCGGTGGTTTAAACTCATGTCGGGCGCGTGTATGTGCGTGCCCAAGATCTGGAGAGGAGAATGGAGGAGAAGGGATTGTGGTGTGGCCATCCCCCCTGGGGAGTGATTTCTCACTTTCTGTTCCTCTGTTTTTCTGGCAAGCACATGTGCCCTATAGCAAAAACCTCTCAAAAAAAGAAGGCTGCCATAAGACAATAGAAATCCCATGGAAATGAAAAGGCACATGGAGATTCAGCTTAGAGTGTTGGGGACAATGAACTCTAGCAGGCAAGTCATTGTATCTAAAAGGAAGAGCAAAACAAGGCTTAGTTAAGGCAAACATTGAAAATGAGGTGATGAGATTCCCAGAGGTTGAATACCACCCTTTGACAATAACCCTGACCCTCAAAGAAAGGCCACTTAAGTGCTCATTGTCAAATACTTTAGAAATAAGCTTCCAGCAATAGTAGCAGAATATGGGGTAGAGCAGAGGCAGATTATAACATAAAATTCAGAACTGGAGGATGCCCATGCTGCGCTTATTGGGAAATTAGATTGGAGTAAAGAGAAAGTGGTCAGAATATCTTTCTTAAAAAGAATTTGGGTGGATATTGAGTTTCTTGTGGGACAGTGGGATAGGCCCAAAGAACTGCTACTCTATGGAAGAGCAGGCACATACTCTTAAATACCGTAGGAAACTAGAACGAAATAAGCAGTTACCTCAAACCAAACAAGCAACAGAATGTCCAAAATCCAGGACAATACAATCTGTGGAACAAAATTTTGGCTTCATTACTGGCAGGTCATGTTTTATTATTAATTTTTTTTTTCCACTGGGAAGAGAGAGGAAACAGACTGACCACCTGGAGTGGGGCTGGACCACATGGTGAACTTATAGGGAAGTGTCTCAGGATTTGGGCCATATGGTGGGCTATGTCAGGAAGAGACTTTCTTCTCTTGAGCTGGAAAACAATCTGGTGTGTTCAGGTATGGCACTTTTCCATTCCTGTACACGTCACCTTCCTTTTCCAGAATTTAAATACTCTGTGACCACAAGGCTGTGTGGAGTTGTCTGGAAGTCCGACAGGAACAACTGCCAGATTCAGTCCTATTAAGACTTGCTCAATTAAAACGCCACTCATTTAAAAAAAAAAAAAGTGATGGGCGGTGGTCAAAGGGAAAGGACCTTGTAGGCACAGGGGGACTAGGACTGAATCTGCTTGAAGCCCTAACAGTTCTGAAAGATCTAAGAAAGTGCTTCAGAGGACAGAAGGAGATCCCTGTATACTCAGATGACTCTAACCAGGCTTATAAAAGAGTGTCACCAATGTACAAGTGGGAGGAAGGAATTTCAAGTAGTAGGAATGCCTAAAGCAAAAATTCCAAGATAGGAAATTATGTGGTGCACTCAGAACTATACAAGGCCAGTTGGTATAGAGGGCATGTGGGAGTAAGCAATGGAAGATAGTTTGCAGGAATGGAAATACCAGCATCAGAACTTTGAAGTATTTTCTTCAGGCAGAAGGGACAATAGATGGTTTTTAAAGGGGTAGCAACTTGTACCAAGAGGAATTTAAGGAGATTTAACCTTTCAATGGTAGTACATAACCTAGACAGTGAACTTCTCAGGTTGGGAATCCTATCTGCCTTCTCTACTACTGCTTCCAAAACACATAAGCTAAGCTTAGCATGAAGTTGAACCCAAAAGATAGGAGTAAGTGAGACTAAATGAAAAAGAAACATGAGAAAAGTTCAGGTAGAAGACAAGAAAGACTATTGTAAAATCACCCAGCAGGAAGAGCTGAGACTAGGTTAGCAAAGGGAAAGTTTCACCTGGCAAAATCTCTTCTGTATACACTTCGAGTATCTCTTATCCAAAAGGCTCAGGACAAGAAGTATTTTGGATTTGGGATTTTTTTTAAAACATTGGAATATGTGTGTATACATAATGAGAAGTCTTGGGGACGGGACTCAGTCTAAACATGAAATTAATTTATGTTTCACATACACCCATACATACAGCCGGATGGTAATTTTATACAGTATTTTTTGTATTACAGAATTTTGAGTGCAAATCATCAAGAAGGTCAGGTGTGGAATTTCCCACTCGTGGCATCACTGGGGCTCAACAAGTTTCAGGTTTTTGGAGCATTTAGGTTTTCAAATTAGGCATGCTCAACCTATAGTGACTAGTGCTCTGTATGGGGAGAGGGAGATTCTAAAGTCCAGGATGACATTCGTGCTTGGGAGATAAAAAGTCCAAAAGAGAAGTCGTTTCAGTAAAATGATGATGAATTCGGTATTATTTATAAACTTATTCATTTTATTCATTCAGCTGAGACCAGGAAAGAGCCTGGTGGTTTCAAGGCATTGACAGGAGGGTGATAGAGTTTGGTGTGCAAGAAGAGCACAGCGACATAAGGTCAGAGAGCGTGTAGTTGCTCAATTTCATGCAGCAGGCAACAGGAGCCTAGAACTCTGGTTCTGCTGAGCTATTGGGTAGGAGATGCTTAACCACTATTAGTAGAATGTCTTGACAGTTACTCAATGGCTTTCAAAGATTGTTTGACTCTGTGTAAATCTAGTTAAATGCTTTAGATACTGATATGGTTTGAGTCCTCTCCCGCAAATGTAACTATAACGTGAATCCAGTGTGTCAGTATTGGAAGGTGGAGTCTAGTGGGTGGTTTGGGAAACATGGGAGATAGATCCTTGGTGAGTAATTAATGTGGGTTCCTTGGAAGGAGTGAATTCTCACACATCGGTTCTTGAGAGAGTGGGTAGATATAAAAGCAAGTTAGCTGTTCATAGATGCCCCTGTCTTTGCTTGCCTGCCTTTTTCTTTCTGTGTGTTTTGGCCTACACAAAAGGCCAGCCACATGCTGGCCTCATGCTCGTGATTATTCCAGCTGTCAGAATCGTGAGCCAAATCAACCTCCCTTCTCCATAAACCCTTGTCTTAGGTACTTCTGTTACAACAATACAATAATAGATTGGGACTAGCAGTTAGCATAATGGCTATGTCACTGGATTCCCATGTAGTCGACCACGGTTCACGTCCTGGACCCAATGGCTTAAAACTCATGCTGGGCGCATGTGCGTGTGTGCCCAAGATCTCAGGAGGAGAATAGAGGAGAAGGGATTGTGGCATGGCCATCCCCCCTGGGGGGTGATTTCTCACTTTCTCTCTCTGTCTGTCTGGTGAGCGCATGCGCCCTATGGCAAAAAACCTCTCAAAAAAAAATATATATATATAATAGATTAAGACAGATAATCAACCTCAAACTAAATTTAGCATATTGTTTTAAGGGCAATGAAGCAGAAACTGCCATGTTCAGTGACAGTTTGCTACTCTTTCATGGTAGAGATTTGGTCATAGGCAGTAACAGCATGATTTTATATTTATGTGTCAAAATTTAAAAATTTTGAAACCATCAAATCTTTATATAGAGATGGTTTTTTGAGCTCTGGAGCTGCCACTTGTTAGCTGTGTGAACTTGGGCAAATTATTTAAGTTCTCTGTGCCTCATAATCTTCACCTTGAAAATGGTGATCATAATAGTCTCTTTTAAACATATTTATATGAAATATTAGATTAAATAGTTCATGTCAAGGTCAGCAGGTGGCGTGGTAGTTGGGGGTGCTGGACTCCTACATGGCCAACCGTAGTTCGAGTTCTGGACCTGGTGGCTTGCTTTTTCACTTTCTCTCTCTCTCCCCACCCCTCTCTGGTCAAATTAAAATACATACATAAATAAAGTTGAATAAAATAAATCTTAAAAAAAAAAGATTAAATAGTTCATAGTTCATGTCAAGTGCTGAGGATGGTATTTGGCACAGAATAAATACTCAGTAAATGTTAGTATTCTCACTTATGATTTGGTCACCTTATACAAGATATAAATAACAGTATTATTTTTGTTTATGGTCTGGTGTATAATTTTAGAGTTATTGATTTAATTTTATTTACTCGTTATAATTTATTTTCATTTGACCAGAGAAAGAAAGACATACAGAGAGAAGGAAAGTGAGAAAGCAAACCACCAGGTCTGGGACTCAAATGGTGGCCAGCCATGTGGGAGTGTTCAGTGCTTTAGCCACCGTGCCACCTGCTGGCCCCAATCTGGTGTATTTTTTATTCTACTAAAATATTTTTTGTTCTCTGGCCTTTCAAATCAGTCAAGTACTCACAGACTTAGAGGAAGAATACCTCTACAGGAAAGCAGAAGAAGCTTTTTAGTTTCAGAAGTCAAAATTTTGTAGTAGTAAGAACCTAGGCATTTGAGTTTCAAAAGCCTAAATGGTAAAAGACCAAAGAGGTGCCGGAAGGAGTAGGCTGGAGGAATGTAGGGTGACGGGATAACGAACCTCTCTGACCCTAGAGGAGATAAACATTTTCTAGGCTGCTGGAGTGAAGAGGGGCTGACTGATGTCTACCCTCAGATACCTCTGTCCAGCCCCCAGGAGTAGGGAGTTGAGGAGAGTGGAAAATGGAACCCAAAGATAGGTGTTGAAATCCAGGAAAAGAATGAACTGGGACCAACCTTGTAGCTGACTGGTTAGAGGAGCTGGATCCCACATGGTTGACCGCAGTTCAAATGCTGGCCTGGCAGCTTAAAAAACATGCAGGGTGTGTGTGTATGTGTGTGCACACATGTGTGTGCCCAAAATCCCAAGAGGAGAATGGAGGAGAAGGGACTATGGTGTGGCAATCCTCCTGGGGGGCGATTTGTTACTTCTTTGTCTCTCTGGTGAATACACTATGTGCAAAAATAATAATAATAATAATAATAATCTATTAAAGAAAAATACAGAAAAAAAACTACATTCGTTCATATCTAAGTGACAGACAAATATAGGAAAACGTTGCACCCTGGCCTGCACCCCACAGAATGAATCTATGTAGACCAAGTGAACGTCTCTGGGGCTAATGCAGAGAAAATACCCTATCTGTTCTCTGCCTTTTCATTTTGTATCAAGATGGTGCCCAAAATAACATTCCTTTAAATACCACCGTGACTTGTAAGAAGGCCAAGGATCTGCCCAAACACATGAAAATATCGCAATGAGGAAAAAAAGGAAAAAAGAAAAAAAGAAAAGCAGTACTGTCGTTTCAAAGGCGTTTGCAGGAAAATCTGCCTCAAGAAAATTTAAGACAGTCACTTCTGAAAAGTGGTTACTTCCTGAGTTACATTTGTAATATTGGGAGATATGGAGTATTTGGGAAGTGGATACTGTTGGACGTTTGTGTTCTCTTCTGTATTTATTTAAGCAGTTCATTTTCCCCAGTGTGACAGTAGGGGCTTTAGGAGCAAGGTTCTAAATTGCTAGGAATTGCTATTATAAAGAAACCACGCTGCTGATTTTTCCTCCCCGTATCCTGAGCATGCTCTGTTATTTCTTCCATTTATAGCCTCTGGTTCTGCTTTCACAAAAACCAAAGTTCTCTGGTGGGTAAAAATTGAGCTGCAGCCTTCCCTGAACAGTGATTAAGCTGCAGTTTCCGTGGCTTTGTCCAAATCCCCATTTCTATACTTTGCTTTCTGTCTTCAGGTGTTGAGGAGGCCCTTCTGTCATCTCTCTACCTACAGCCTGATTTGGGGCATGACCACAGTGGTGCTGTGCACAGCACAAGGTAAACGCTCGCTTTCCCGGCACGGAGTGCAAACCCAGTTTCTGGGGTGGTCGCCGTTGGCCACTGTTGTTCGTGCTGTGCTAGTTCCATGTGCCTGCATGAATTATGTAAACATGCTATTTGCTTGGAGGGGTGGGAGTGGTTCTTTCCGCTTTCCACATTTTTGTTTTCAGCAGTACACTGTGATATTTAGAAACCATTTCCGTAGATGAACCAGACTCAGGAAAAATATCCTTTCTAGAGGAAAATGTCCCTTTTTATTTTTTTGGTACCTACTGACTTAGAACAGTTTTAAAAATCATTGTTTTTTTGTGTGTGTGTTTGGTAAGGATATGGGACTTCATGGGGGGACAGTGTGAATAGCAGATGAAGGTTTTTTGGAAGATAACCTGGCAATAAGCCTTCAAATTGGGTGCTCCCCCTTTTTACAGGAAAACAGAGAGACTAATGAAGTAGAGTATGTAGGTTAACATTCCGGTTGGATGAAAACTGAGCCTGTGCCATCCACTTGGGTGTGGAATTTCTCAGTCCTTTCACCTCACCTGTGTCCCATGGGAGGTCCCCCTTCACCTTGCTGCTGGCCCTTTTGTCACTTTAAGTGTGATGTTGGTACCTGAGCTCCACAGACTGGGGAATGCTTATGAAGGGTGGGAGGGCTTCACACTCTTTTTCAACCTTGGTTCGCAATATCCATCAAGGTTTTACAAATAGGTCATCTAAATGAAATCCCACACAACCAGCAAAGAATTTCAGACTTTCCAGTAAATGATTTCTTCCATGGTCAAAAAAAGAAAAAAAAAAATTGCCCAAAGGTTGAACTCTAGTTTTTGTTCCTTTTCTACTCTATGTTCTAAAAGCAACAATTTCCTCAAATGTCTACTCTGCAAAATTTCAACAAGATGCAGGAAATATCAACCCCAACAATTCGTATTGCCTCCCAGAATGTTTTTTCACATCTTCCCAGAGCATACATCATTAGCTCTCTAATTACGCGACACCCAGAAGTTCCAATTCACATTTACGGCTGTGCCTGTCTTTTGCCCTTCATACGGTTGGGGAGTTGTTTATTTATATAACTCTCATTTTTTTTTTCTACTTACGCTTGTTAAAATTTTATCTATGAGTCCTAAAAAAATTAATTATGGTGTTTTTGATCAAGTCTGAATTTTGCATACAATATAGTTAATTAGTGCTTGTTTATTAACTCACTCCTATTTTTTGGAGGAGGTAATAGAAGATTTGAAAGTAAGCTTGCATTCATTTTTCAATCTCTCTTATTTCCTAATTAATGTAGTTGGGATTAAATACAACCTTGTAAGAACTGTTTTACCCATGTCTATAGATTTTAACGAAGCATGCTATCAATATCAGTCAGTTAAAATAATTTATGATTTCCAGTCCAAACTAAAGAGTGAAAAGAAATGTGTAAATTTCTAATTCTGTTATATTGTGGAGAGTGTTCAAAGCCATAGGGTAGCATTCCATAGCCTATTTTAAACTGACTTTTAGGTACTGTTTCATGTGTGTTTTGAAAAGATTGTATATTTTCTCTTTGAGTAAACTGTGTGTGCATAAGGTACATATATTGTACCTATATAAATGTATGAAGATTTGTATTAAATGTAAAGTATATATAAATATATACACATAAATATATAGTTTTTCAAATTTTCTATATCCTTACATTTTACTTTTTCACTTTAATGTTGTTTAAATATATGGAATTGAAGATTTAGAGAGAAGCATAGAAAACTCTTCCATAGTGACTATGGGTTTACAAATTTTTCTTTGTAATTCCATTAGTTTTTGCTTTATGTATTTCAAATTCATGCTGTTATGAGGGTTCATAATTAATAAATCTTATTTCAGATTGCTCCTTTTATCATTTTGAGTAAAACTTTAATCCCTTCGCAGGGATTCTTGTCTTCTATTCTTTTTTCTCTCCTTTTAGAAGTCCCATTGGACTCATAAATATTTAAGTCTACTTGTTGAACTTTTAAAAAATCTCTTTCATATTCCTTTTCCTTTATGCCACATTTTGTAAGAATTCCATGGCCTTATCTTCCGACTTACTGATTTACTCTTCAGTGGTATCCATTCTCCTAAGTCAGCCAATCGGTTGACCTTTATTTTTCTCATTTTCTACAGCTCTAATTGAAACGATTTACAACATCAGCTTCTTATTAGACTCAGGCTATCACATTTATTTATGTCAAAGTGTTTATTGATCTAGGATATCATTATTCATTCGGTATAAACTCTTGTGTTTGTAGAGTTTATTGTTTCTCTTTCATGGTGCTTTCTCAAATGTCTGGCTATTTGTTATCATATTGAGATTTCTCATTAAATCATCTATCATAGTATGAGTAGCCAGCATTGGAGAGGGAAAGAAATTATTGCCATAGCATTCAGTGAAAATGAGGGATGTGTGAATTGTCATTGGGTGTCAAAGCTTCAAGATCTTCTCTGATACTGCCAAGCTCCTGTAGCTTTGTCCTGTGCATCTCTCTACCTTATCGTTCTTTTTTGTTTGTTTGTTTCAGTTTTGCTATACAGTGTATGTGCTCTCCAGAGAGAGAGAGAGAGGGAAGGTGAGAAATCACTCCCTGGGAGATGGCCACACCACAGTTCCTTCTCCACTCTACTCTTAGAATTTTAGAATTTTCAAGCTTCCAGGTCCAGAACTTGAACCACAGAGTGGGCCATGTGAGATCCAGCTGTTTTAACCTTCATGCCACCTGCTGGTTATCTACCTTATGTTCTATATTTCCACTTTCTGAAGCCAGACACCTCTGTGCTGCCCCCTTTCTTAGAAGACGAGAGAGAGAGAGAGAGAGAGAGAGAGAGAGAGAGAGAGATTATGTGAGGTGTATAGGACTACTCCATCTCCTTTTCTTAAATTGACACTCTGCTGCTTGTTCTTTTCTACCCTTGGCTTCTACCACTAGCTGATGCATCTGGTACTTTCCATCTTTAATCTCATTCTACCTACTTCCTAGTTTGTAGATATTCCTCACCATTTCTGGCTGCTAAGATTTTGTTTTCTTGTTTTTCTACTATGATATTCTATCTTTAAAGCTAAAACAAACACAGTTGAACCTACATTTTTGTAGCAACATTTTAGGATGTGAATGAATTTTGTTTTCTCCTATGCATGTTTTTCTCTATTTTTTCCATGGTTGACTTTGGACCTACATTTGTATTTATAATCAGGAAAATGTGCGCATGTGTGTGTCGTAAAGTTTTAAAATATATGTGTTCTTTTATGATTCCATAGTGGAAGTGGTGACCCAGGATGAAAGAGAACCACTGAACACACCTGCTTTCTTAAGATGTTCTCTGCAAAGTTCCCAGGAAGTCTTAAGTGTGACATGGCAGAAAAAGAAGGCTGTCAGCCCAGAAAACATGGTCACCTTCAGCAAGAACCATGGTGTTGTGATCCAGCCTGCCTATAAGGACAGAATCAATATCACCGAGCTGGGACTCCAAAACTCGACCATCACCTTCTGGAATACCACCCTGGAAGATGAGGGGTGTTACATGTGTCTCTTCAATACCTTTGGTTCTGGAAAGATCTCGGGAACATCCTGCCTCACCCTCTATGGTGAGTGTCTTTGAGAATACTTGTTTGTCTGTAAATACTATTTTCAGTAATATCTGGAACATAGTTGTAGTGCCAAGGACTTAATTTTGGGGAGTCTTAATCTCAGAAAGGTTCTTGAAGAGACAGCCTTCCACGTCCGCTTTAGCTGATTATGGTTTGGGGTGTCAATGCTTTAAAGTCTTCTTTGATACCAGCTTCCTATAGCCTTGTCCTGTGTATCTCTCTCCCTTACGTTATAGCTACAGTGGTTGTGGTTATTTGGAGAGTTCATGGGTTTGTACTGAGTTCTTATACTAGAGCTATCTTTCCTCTGAAGGATCCTGCTGTCATCAACAGTAAATGGAGGAAAATTGTGAGGACAACAAGTTCTTCATAAGCAGTGATACGATTCAGACCTGGCTTTGCCATTTGCAATCATGTGAGTCAAGAAAGGTCTTGTCTGCTCTGTACTCGGGTTTCTATATCTGGGCAATGTGTGAGAGAGACCATCTCTAGGATACCTTGAAGCTTCCCTCTTTTAGCCAGACTGGCTAACCTAGAGCTAGTTATGGTAGTCCTTTTCATTTTGCTTATAAGGACATGTGTAGCAGAGCCCCTTCATACTGAAATGATGCCAACTAGGGACATAACCGCATGGTCAGCATTATTTCGAAAGCCAAGAACTATAGTTAGAAGAGATTTCCTACTTCTTTTTATTCATTTATTTATTTTTTATTTATATTTAATCATTGTACATCTTTACAGCACACAAAATGTTTCTCCCTCAAGGGTGAATATAGTGCATATCAGTCAAATCATAGATATTACCGTGTATATTACCACCAACAAATAACTTTTCATTTTTGCTTCTGTTCATTTTTTTTCCTCCTGATCCCTTTTCTTCCTCCCCTTGTTACCCATACCCTTCCGCACTGTCTCTAGCATCTGCAGTTGCCCTCCCTGCTATTGTATCTTCCAGTCTTTCAGTTTCTTCCATAGAGTGCAGACATTTGGTGTACATTAAGCAGAGACATACAATGCCTGTCTTGCATAGTCTGGCTTTCTTCACTTAGCATTATTTGTTCATTGATAGATAGCTGAGCTGAAGTATTAGATGGTAGGAAAAAGAGATGAGAAAAAAAGGAATGGAAAACAACTGTAAATACCAGAGACAATGTGGAAGAAGGGTGGGAAGTGGCAGAGGTGAGAAATATGGGATATATATATACACACACACACACACACACACACACACATATATGAAATAAGAAATGGAAAATTATTTGTTGACAATAACATGTATGATTAAGCCACTATACAGTATATTCTGATATTCTGGATAGGAAATTGTGTTTTGTATGCTGTGATGATGTTCAGAGAATAAATGTAAAATAAATAAAAATTTTTTAAAGGTGTAAGGAATTAGAATATGGCATACTTGGTGGTAGTTTCAGGAGAGAGCAGACAAACTTAGGGTTATTAGGAATATTAAAGTGAGAGTTTGCACATCCAAGGATATTGGCCATGGGGGAAAAGAAAGTTCAGTAGCTAGGAATCTAAGGGAAATGCAGTAACAATATCAAATTATTTCACTTATTTTGCCTCTAATGGGTTATTGCTGCAGACTCTCATGTCAGGCTTTCTTTGTTATTTCCACTTTTGTACTCACTTTATATTTGTCTGTTTATTATTTGATTCTCTTTTTCCCTTCCTCTCCCCTCCTCCTTCTCTTCTTTCTTTCCTTTCTTCCTTATATCCCTTTTTTTCTTCTTCTTTCTTTTTAAATTTGTCAGAATATACATGCACTCACAAGAGAGAGAGAGAAAGTAAGAAAGCACTTCCAATGAAGGATGGTTACACTGTAGTCCTTTTTTCTCTATTTCTTTCTTCTTTGGGGATTTTTGGGCACACACATGTACCCTGCTGTTTTTCAAGCTGCCAGGTCTGGATCTTGAATCACATTTGGCCATGTGGGATCCAGCCACCTTAACCACCATGCCACTGGCTCATCCTCCTAGGTCCTATTTCTCTCATTCATTTCTTTTTCTCCTCTCCTTCTTTTCACTCATCTTTCTTTTGCCAATTCCCCTCTTCTTTACCTATAATATTTTATATTATTTTGCCCCTGGAAACCAGACTCTTCTGAGTCTTCTAACTAGCAATATTGTTCTCTTTCACATTGACCCTTTTTAGCCACATCTTGTAGGTTTTATCTAAGCCATTCTTTAATCCATCAGAGGACCTTGACATTCAGTTTAGCCACTCTAACCATATTCACCTTCCTTTCTTTTTATCTCTCTTCCTCCAGTGCTCATTAGTGTTGGTAGTCTGGACACTCCTTAGACACAGGCCCAGTCTAGAGCTTCACTTCCTCCAGCCTACGGCCATCCACCCGTTTGCTTGTGGGAGATAAACTATGTTCTAACAACAATGAACTTATTAATCAGTTGGTATTTTAAAATCAACAGGACAGGTAGCCTGAAAATAATGTCTTTTACTTAGAAGCTAGTTATGTTCTCTTAACTCCATCAGGTGATCTCCAAAGTTTTTCCAACAGTCATTCTTAAAATGTTCTGGCTATTGGCAATGAATTCCTTTTCTAAAAAAGAAATATTAAATTTTATTTATTTATCATTATTTTAATTTGCTATAGGGCATATGTGCTCACCAAAGAAAGAGAGAGAGGCATTGAGAAAGCAAGACACCAAGTCTGGGACTCAAACCACAGTCAGTCATGTGGCCTCCACTTGCTGGCCCCCATTGGCAATGAATTCTTAATTTATGTACTCTGTAAATCTTCCAGAGATCTTTCAGTTCTCCTCTGTGCATCTCATTCATTGGTCCTGATCCAAGCAGAAAATGAGTCTCTAAGTAGCAGTCCTTCTAGGGCCTCTCTGTTCTGATTACAAAATCATGCTTGTGATAGGTCAGGCTGTATGTACAGAGGTACTAGTTGGAGGTTATCGAGAAGCTATTTGAGAAGAGTATTCAGAAAAAGGAAGAGATACACATGGCCCATGGACTAAGAAAATAGAATAATTAGAATTTAGATTACTTAGGAGAGGACTGTCATTTGACTTCTTAATACCCACTGTCAGTCCAGCTAATTCTGCTAGAGAGAGGATCTTTCTCATCACAGGTTTGTACTAGAGCAGTCTGCATTCTTCCGCTCAGAAAAGTAGACCCACGAAGAACTAGGAAGGTCTCCGTGTGGGAGGATGTGCTTCCTTGTCTTCCCCCTCCTGTCTTTCTGTAGGGATCTCTCTCTCTCTCTTCTCTCTCTGAGGAGAACATGAGCTCAAACTGATCAGGTACCTAACTGATGGAGATTATACTTTTTATTGTCCCAGTACAGCCCACAGTATTCCTTCACTACAAATTCTTTGAAGATCACCTAAATATCACTTGCTCTGCCACTGCTCGCCCACCCCCAGTACTCTCCTGGAAGGTTGCGGTGTCAGGGATTGACAACAGTACTGAGAGTCTGTTAAACCCAAATGGGACCACGTCTGTCACCAGCACCCTCTATGTCAAAGACCCCAAGAAACAGGTTGGGAAGGAGGTGATCTGCCAGGTGCTGCACCTGGGAAGTGTGACCAACTTCAAGCAAACCCTGAGCAAAGGTAAGAAAACAAGAACAAAGACAGTTGTGGTTGCATTTGTTCACACACACCTGGAAGCTGGTGAATTTCCTACTGAGAATCCTAGTCTTTTAGCAAAGGGATTAATTATGGAGACAATAGAGTAAGTAAGGGAAAGAAAACAGTTGAGGAAGCAAACAATTCTACTTGGTTAAATGTGATACATTGCCCACATATGCCAGACGTTGGGGTGAATGAAGAAAAAGCAATGAGCAAAACTCAGTCTCTGAACTTAGAGAGCTTCAGGTCTGCGAGGCAATGCACCGAAGTGTCTGGGAGACTGTGAAATTGTGTATGAAGTGTTTCAGTAAGAAAGCGACAGTGCAGCACGGGAAGAGTAAAGGTGGGGGAGGAAGGGCATGAGCTCAGACTAGGGGGGATCAGGAAGACTTCCTGGAAGAAGTGACATCTATGATGAAACCTCTGTGTAGTTTATACTGTGAGGAAGGGGCCAATCTGAAGTGTCTTTGTGATCACTTTTAAAATAATTAACTGCTCTCTCCCATCTAGACTCCTTCTGCTCTCTTGTGTTTCTCTCTCGACCACTGTTTCTGGGCCTCATAAGACAAGAGGAGAGCATAATGGGTGAGAATACAGGAAGCAGTGATTTTAGTGCACCCAGCATGTTTCAGGCCAACTGGGCCAAGGATTAGAACCGCAGTTGCATGTAGCTTCCAGCTTTGTAGTCCTGTATATTATTGCCTGGGCCACAGAGAATGGACTTCTATATAGTTTTGAAGCACTCATTCTGGATGAAGCCTCCTAAAAAATATTGTTGCTCTTTGTGGGGGGCATGTTTTGAACAATGGGACCTGGAAAACTTTTCCTACATATGCCTTGTTGATGCAATAGCCTGTAAGGAGCATCTGCAGGATTCTTAAGGTCCCTCAAAACCCAAATTAACAAGAGAGAGTGGATTGAAGTAAATCTGATAAAATAGGTGGAGACTGGTAAAGAGAGCCTCAGATGCAGTCAAGGCCAAGGGTAAATTCCCCTGAAAAATAAGAACTTGAAGAGGAGAAGAGGAACATTTATTATATTTTTTTCTTTTTTGGGGGGAGAGGTTTTTACTATAGGGCGTGTGCGCTCTCCAGAAAGACAGAGAGAGACAGAGAGACAGAAAGTGAGAAATCACCCCCCAAGGGGGATGGCCACATCGCAATCCCTTCTCTTTCATTCTCCTCTCAGGATTCTGAGCACGCACGCACACGCACTTGGCGTGAGTTTAAGCCACCAGGTCCAGGACTCAAACCATGGTTGACTACATGGGAGTCCAGCGACGTAGCCATTATGCCATCTGCTGGTCCCGAACATTTATTATATTTTCTATCAATGCTAGGTTTAACTTACATCTCTGATGATGTTTGTATATAATTTGTGTAACATTTGCTTACTCTGTGAACATTTGCTATAATTTTCCACTCTCAAAGCATTATACCAAGCACTCGAAGTATAGACATTCATCAAATCTCTGTCTGAAAGTGTCCAGTTATATTATGATATGACAAGTCCCATTATAGGGGAGTGAAGACAATGTTGGAAATTCTCAAATCAGGAAGCACTTCCTTTGCTTTGATATTACAGAGAGACACTGAGGATCTGATACTTGAATATTGAATGTTGAAAAGAGATTTAATGACAGAGACATAGAAGAAACGTGATAAAAACATTGAGATGGGTTACTTCTGAGGGTTAAGATTATGAGAGTCATATTTTTTTCTTTCGTATGTCTTTTTGTTTCCCAAAATTTTCTCCATAAACACATATGACTTTAGTGGAAAGTATGACAAAGAGTATGAGCTTTGGACTTAAGCCGATTTTTAACTAAGTCTTGGCTCTCCCATTTACTATAATTTCAAGCTGAACTTGCTTCCTCTGAGCCTTAATTTTTTGTTTGTTTTCATTTTAATCTGTTAGATAATAATACTAATAATGTCTAACTCTGGGGCTGTTTTGAACATTAAATGAGATAACACATTTAAAGCTCTTATTACTAATAACTGCATAAAGTATCCTCACTATCATATTATCTAAATGTGATAAAAACAATATGAAGTCATTAATATAGGCTTTAATATTTTGTGTGTATTTGAGGATAATTTTATTGAATGTTCAACTCTTGTAAAAACTCATCATAACTATTGATTTTTGATCGCTTTCTGCCTCAGCAGCAGTTTCCTTGTGTGACATCACTTTCCTTTTTGTCTCATCAATATCCACAGGCTTTTGGTTTTCAGTGCCACTATTGTTAAGCATTGTTTCCCTGGTAATTCTTCTGGTCTTAATCTCAATTTTATTATACTGGAAACGTCACCGGAACCAGGACCGAGGTAAGTCATCACAGGGAATGCAAGAACATGGACTTGAGTGACTTTTTTTTTTAAATGACAATTTGAGGTCAACTGAAGATATAAAGGGATGGCAATGGTGTGTTTTATTTCCAAACTGCATCAATGTTGAAGCTATTTTAAAATGCTTCAGAGACGTTTTCTTGGACACTAATTGCGACATTTCTGCTATTTGTTAAGCTAGATTGAAAAACAATTATTTTATACATTGACAGGGAATCAGGAAAATATTTACCTCGCCACAGTTGAATCATTTGATGGCAGAATCAAAGAAAGCTCTTTGGCAGCCCTGTGGGGTCCTCTTTCTCCCTTAATAAGAACAAGATCTCTTTTTACAGCATTCTACATGCCAGCTACCCATTGAAGATACTGTGACATTGCGTAGGATCCTTCCCCACGTAGTGCTTTTCATCTTATACACCCACGGTGCCTCAAGCACTATTAGCAACACACAGGTCATTCATGTTTACAGTAACGTCATGTCTTTCTACCTCTCTAGACTGTAATATCCTCTTTGTCCCTCGTGACATCTATCACAGTGTCTTATATGAGGGGAGGATCTTTAGAAAGTTCATGTAAAATGCTTGTAATGAAAAAACTGCGTGGTTTTCAAACATTTTTTGCACAAAAAAAATGAATTTGTACTTCAGTTCCATTTTCCATGAACTTATTAAAGACCCCTTGTATATCAGTTTCTCCATAAATGTTTATTTATTGAGTAAACAAGTGAAGAAAGGGATAAAAGATAGATTTTAAAGTAACTTTCAATGTCTTTCATTCTGTTGTAAATTCAGCTTCACATAAATGCCAAGTCGAAGATACCGTGAGGCTTTATAACATGAGCAACTCTATGTAAGTGAGCTATAGCTACAGAGAGAGAGCACTAAATCTTTGATTCCTAAAGATAGCACATGATTTATTAAAGTGGATGCAAAGCTGCTGTTTAATTTGTATATATGGGAATTTCATGGGGCAAAGAGTAATATAGAAATTTCCTTTCTCTTAGATGACTGAAGGGTAATAGTCAGGGGAGAAAAATTGTTGTCTTTGAGTGTTCTTTTCTTTTTTTTTTTTCCTTTCATTTTATGTTTCATAGACTCTGTCTCTCATGTTCTAGGATTTTTTAAAAAATTAATTATTTTGTAAAAACCCAATAAAAACACCGGATGATTTTTTAAATAATTATTTTATTTCATTTATTATCATCATTATTATTTGTTTAATTTTACCAGAGAGAGAGAAAGGGAAAGTAAGAAAGCAAGCCTCCAGGTCCAGGACTGGAACCATTGTTGCCTGTAGGGGAGTCCAGTGTTTTAAACATCATGCCACCTGCTGACCTCCAGATGAATTCTTACAAATTTACAAAACAAGCAATCTATTTTCAGTGTCAGTGGCCCCTTGGCAAAAGTACATAATGGTATTTGTCCTGTCTGGGAGAGGAGATTACAGATCAAATAACCTAATTGTACTTAATCCTAAATGCATAGAACGCATAAGCCAGCCACACAATGTCAAAGATAAAAATCTGCTTTTACTTTAGCAAAACTTTTCACTTTTAAATTTGGAAGCTGTGGGGCTAGCAGATAGAGCAGAGGTTAAGACATTTGGATCCTGCATAGCCAGTCGACTCTGTGGTTTGAGTCCCAGACTCAGAGCCTTGAAAAACATGCCAGATACATGTGTGTGCATACCCAAAATTCCAAGAGAATAGAGGAGAAGGGATTGCAGCGTGGCCATGGCCTGGAGGGTGATTTCTCATTTTCCCTCTCTCTCTCTCTCCAGAGAGTACATGCATGCCCTATATATATACACACACACACACACACACACA